TAAAAAACAAATAGTAAAAAATTACCCTTTTAATTATTTTTAATGTTTTCAAATTACTATTATTATTTCTATCACATTTTTGTAAAAGTAATTTTACAAAAAAGAGAGAGGGATGTATGAACATGCACGGATATTTCATATATGATTATACATGTTTATAGATATTTATGTATATTTATACATATTTGCATATATTCATGTATGAAAAACTTTTTACTGAGTAGATGTAACGTAACATTATAAATTTAACAATGCATGCACAATAAATTCTATATAATAAAGAGGTATCTAGGATTAAGTTTATCCCAAACTGTTATTACTTATCCATTTTAAGGCAACAGATGTATGGAATCTATACATATAGTATATCCATATATATTTAATAAATTGATACATATGCATCTATATAGTAATTAATAAAAGTACCACACATCCGTTATCCCAATAAAAACATTAATTTATCACTCACTAATCCGATGCGCAACAGCGGAGTTATATCAGCAACGTCGCTACGATGATTCTGTAATAAGAAGAATAGGAAATCCAAATTAAAACAGAGTAAAAAAATCAACCAATATTTCAAAAAATATTTACTAAATGCAAAGTTCTCTTAAAAATAAAATCATATAATATTCATAATAATTTTTATATATAAGCATTGAATTTTTAATTCACCATTCAGTTATATAAAAATAATTATACATTTTCTTAAAAATACATGTTTATAAAGTTTCAAAATAATTTTAAAATAATCCTTTTATTTTCTAATTATCATTTTCAAATTATTAAAATAAAACTACTGAAAAAAATAAATTTAAAAGAAGAAGGATACAGATGTAACATAAGTAAAAAATAATATTTACCGCAAGGTTGCTCCGCCGGTGCCTGATATCTCTCCCAAATCTCCTCCTCCTCTCAGAATAGGGTTGACATCCTCTCGCACAGGACACTCGCGTAAAACACTCGCGAATAATACCCTATAATCGCGCGCGGACTATAATTTGAGTCCGATTACTTGAACGGCACTCCCGATGCAAACGCGCGACGCGACGAACCGGCTGCGGTTCGTTCATTTCAAGTAAATCGGCGACGAGGGTACGTTAGCTTCCCTGTCGTTGGATTTTTGCACGAAGAGAACGATTTTATTCAAGTATCTAAAAATTTATCTAAAAATATCGTTCAGACAGATCCGAAAATTTTTAGATACTTGAGAAAAACCGTTCTTTTCGTATAAATATCCTCTGGATATTGAGCCTTCCCACCACGTCAAGGTCGTACCCGTGAGAAGGAAGATAATCTGAAAAATGTAATATGTAGCTATTATCTATATTACTACGCAATTATTATGCAATCGGTTAACTTTTAGAAATGAATATCAAACACAATTCTGCAATTCGTTATCATTGCGAAATAAATTTGGAGCAGATAAAAGGGTTGAATTTTTCATTTATAGATGATGTCTGTAAGATATCATTAGAGTCAATAAAATGGGCTAGAGATTAATAAAAAAAGAGAAACGTTTCTTTCATTATCGATAAATAATATCAAAATTACGTTTAATTTTTAAACGGATCGTATAACGAAAGGTGCACAAAAACAAAAAATTAATTAAATTATTAAACTATACTATTAATTGTGAAAGCAGGAATTGCGTTATTTGCATGTTCATACTGAGATTGCTTTTTTATAATTCGTGTAATACCATTCGTACAGACAAGTAGCCGTGTGATTCTTCTTTTTAAAACATATAATAATCGCAGGAAATGCTAGATGTAATACGAAATGTTGTATTTTATGAATATTCACGTAATACGATTATTAGTATGATTAATTATTCATAGAGTACAACATTTCATATTATATTTGGCATTCTTCGTGATAAGATTTCAAAAAGTAATGTGAAAAAGAGCCGTACGCGACACAACTACTTGCTTCTACGAATCTTAATAAGAGAATGATTGCGTGATAACTACGCATAAACCTAAATATGACGCGCCGTTCCGAGTCACCTCCACCCCAAAGTCGCGTGCCAACCGTCTAACTGTCGAAATATTAACGTACATTACGAAGTAAAATAATGTTCTTTACATTTTTAATGTTCTCAGATTAATGAAAAAATTTCTGTCTAGTTCCTTATACATCTATCTAGATTTAGCGGCGCCAGTCGTTTAATGTATCATGTATCATAATTATATCGTGATCAAGGAACATATTTAACGTTCATTTTATAATTTTAAACATTTTGTATCAATTACAATGTGCTGACAAAAAAGTAAGAAGTAAAAAAAGGTTTTTAACGTGATTTTTCTTATATAACTGCTCACATGAAGTGCTTTTGACATCCCAATATTATATTTCAATCTTTATAGATCTTTTTTATTATAGATCTTTTGATTTATAATTAAATAAAGATTAAATATGACATATATCCTTTAAATGAAGATAAAAATTAATTTTAAATTATGAAATAATTTCGACTAAATAAAATAATATGTATAAATAGCATATACATACATTTAAAGATATGTAATTTAAATATAATTATCTGTTTAAATATATTTATCTGTTTTTACTTTTCCCGTACCATAAGAATGTGGAGTAACATGAAAATGATAGAATTATACGATTCAAAGTGATAAAAAGCAACAATTTGAAATATCTAACAATAAGAATCTCATTTTTATAGCGTATATGTGAGAACACATGAAATATCTAAAATACTCATTGAGCTGTGTATGTAATGAATAAAACGTAAGCGTGTACGCGGCACAGTTGACTACATCATCACTTCGGCATTCATTCGACGATCTCGAAGAGAGACGTACGTATTTACAAGTCGCTCCGAATGTCGCAGTAATTAATGAAAATTAAATACCTACGAACGCAAATTACATAAGGTTGCCTAAAGCTAAGGAGTGTACTAAGGATTAATAAGTTTTATTGCATGGTTTTTATTTCTTAGATTCATTACGGAGAGTAATTGGGAACTATCATTAGTATAAGTATGAATATATTTATGAGAAATATTAATATAAGTAGTGGTTTAATGTAGTAATTATTTTTTATATTTGAAATTAATCTTGTAAAGTATATAAAAAGATAATAAGTAATTCTCTGATTAAGATTAGAAATGTAATAATGGAATGTATATAGTTTTTTGATCAAAGAATATAATATTAAAAAAATAATTATAGAACTATATAACTTATATTGAATGAATTTATTAAAATAATAAATGGAATTAAATAAATTAATAGAATAATAAAAAAAATTATATTAGATAATTTGGTCAGAACATTATTTTATTTTACATGAGTTAAAAATAGATTTATGACGG